GTAGATGGGTTCCGCTGGTGTCCATAGGTTTTAAAGTCATTTACCAGAAACGCCCATCGAATTTTTCGAAAAGGTCACCTACTTCAACCCCCCTCCCCCGCCCCGCCCTCCCGGCCGCTCAGGTGTCACTGCGATGCCGGTTGGCAGGCGAGACGTTTGGTTGGGGGCCAAATTGTCCGGTAGTCAAAAGGTGCATCTGAGCCACGCCCTTAAAACGCGGAAATCTCACTGCCTGAGTTTATGGACTTTATGTTTTTGTGGGAAGACCACAAACTGTGGCAAACTGAAAGCTTGAAACAGGGGGAGCAAGTCAAGATAGTCCCTCAAGTTACCCGCTTGATATTGCGCCAATAATATGTTTGTTTTCCGTTGTCCAGCCAAGCAGAAGCAACTGAATCAACTGATGCTTCCCTTTGTAACTGCCACAAACAGGGGGAGGGAGGTCCCTGTTTCAGGTGTCTGCATTTGTCCTGTGTGATTTCGACATCACCTTTGCGGCGCAGTTTGATGTAGGTTCCTTTCCAGCACTTTCTCGAACGACAGCTTCCCCCTCCGTCCTTTGTTTGTTTAAGTTGTTTGAGTTGTTTGAGTTGTTTGAGTTGTTTGTTTGCTTGCTTGCTTGCTTGCTTGCTTGCTTGCTTGCTTGCTTGCTTGCTTGCTTGCTTGCTTGCTTGTTTATGTCATTGATTCGTGTGTTTGTTTGTTTGTTTGTTCGTTCGTTCCTTCCTTCCTTCATTCATTCATTAATTCATTCATTCATTCATTCATTCATTCATTCATTCATTCATTCAGTCATTCATTCATTCATTCATTCATTCATTTATTCATTGCATTCATTGCATTCATTCATTCATTTCATTCATTCATTCATTCAGTCATTCATTCATTCATTCATTCATTCATTCATTCATTCATTCATTCATTCATTCATTCATTCAGTCATTCAGTCATTCAGTCATTCAGTCATTCAGTCATTCAGTCATTCAGTCATTCAGTCATTCAGTCATTCAGTCATTCAGTCATTCAGTCATTCAGTCATTCAGTCATTCAGTCATTCAGTCATTCAGTCATTCAGTCATTCAGTCATTCAGTCATGCAGTCACAGTCACGCAGTCACGCAGTCACGCAGTCATGCAGTCATTCAGTCATTCAGTCATCCGCTCACTCACTCACTCACTCACTCACTCACTCACTCACTCACTCACTCACTCACTCACTCACTCACTCACTCACTCACTCACTCACTCACTCACTCACTCACTCACTCACTCACTCACTCACTCACTCACTCACTCACTCACTCACTCACTCTCTCACTCACTCACTCACTCACTCACTCACTCACTCACTCACTCACTCTCACTCACTCTCACTCACTCACTCACTCACTCACTCACTCTCACTCACTCACTCACTCACTCTCACTCACTCACTCACTCACTCACTCACTCACTCACTCACTCACTCACTCACTCACTCACTCACTCACTCACTCACTCACTCACTCACTCACTCACTCACTCACTCACTCACTCACTCACTCACTCACTCACTCTGCAGATCCTTGAAGATCTTTGCAGGTCTCTGCCCTATCGCCTCTGATCTCAAGTCTTTGGCCCCTGCAAGCTTTTTATGTGTGCAGTTCTTTGGTCTTTGCAGATTCGTGAGCTGTGGCACCTGCAGATCTCTGCAGACCTTTGCAGTATGATCTCTGAAGTCAGCTCTGATCTTTCACTTCTGAGGTCATTTGTGCAGGTTTCGTATCCCTGCATCTCCGCAGCTTTCTGCTCTTTGATCTTTGGCCTTTGCCCCCTGCACAAATTTCTGCAGATCTCTGCAGATTTCTGACCTATGGTCTTTGGTCTCAGCTCTGGTCTCTGTCTTTGAGGTCTGACCTTGCAGCTTTCATACCCCTACAAATCTCTGAAGATGTTGGCAGGCATCAGCTTTGCGATTTTTGGCCTCTGACCTTTGGCGCCTGCACATTTCTGGCTCACTCACACACTCACTCACTCACTCACTCACTCACTCACTCACTCACTCACTCACTCACTCACTCACTCACTCACTCACTCACTCACTCACTCACTCACTCACTCACTCACTCACTCACTCACTCACTCACTCACTCACTCACTCACTCACTCACTCACTCACTCACTCACTCACTCACTCACTCACTCACTCACTCACTCACTCACTCACTCACTCACTCACTCACTCACTCACTCACTCACTCACTCACTCACTCACTCACTCACTCACTCACTCACTCACTCACTCACTCACTCACTCACTCACTCACTCACTCACTCACTCACTCACTCACTCACTCACTCACTCACTCACTCACTCACTCACTCACTCACTCACTCACTCACTCACTCACTCACTCACTCACTCACTCACTCACTCACTCACTCACTCACTCACTCACTCACTCACTCACTCACTCACTCACTCACTCACTCACTCACTCACTCACTCACTCACTCACTCACTCACTGAACTCACTTTTCTTCTTTGGTTGGTTGGATTTTGTGTGTGTTTTTGTGTGGTGATCCTTGAAGGGACATATCTAGCCTCCAGTTTGCCTTCCAGGGCCCCACCTGTCGGGAGCCGCAGTGCGACGGCGACTGCCATGGGCCTGCGCCTCAGAACAGCGCGCTTGTCCTCCGCAAGGCGGCGACGGGGTTTTGGCGATTTCAAGAAATCCCATGTTTGTTTTTGGGGGAGTCCGACTTTTTGTTGGACACACCGTCCATTTCCTGAAATGAGTATGATGTTGTTTTCCCTTTTTGGTTTGAAGGAAACCGATCACTACTGGAAACATTATGTTTTTTTGTTTTCCGGAAGGCTTCACCAAACGCAAGGATTGTGAGTGTTACATGTTGTTCTCTTAAGAGCTGGGTTTAGGGCTGTTTCTGTGGTTCTGTTCCTTTCTTGGCGCAGTGACTGGCCGGTCGGAGTCCAGCGGATGTCCAGGAACAGCTGCGCATTTTGCTTAGTTTTGATTGGTTTGGTTGGGGTTTGGTGTTGGGAACGAGAGCATCCATTTGCTGGTGGGTTTTAGCATTTGCAGACATGTTCACGAAGCATTAATGTTACAGAAACCATCAAATCCAAGTCACACCTCCGTTGCCCCGTGTTGACTGTTCAACCTATTTGGTTTTTCCTAACACAAGGACCCTCCGATGTGGTTGCTTTCCTTTGGTTCCCCTTGGACACCTACCTCCACTTATTCAGCACATTGTTTTCTGAACTTAGACATCGCACTTCCATTCACGGACCGTGCAGGGGTTATCGCCACTCTTTGACTGACACATCTTCAACTCGCGGCTGAAGCAAACTTATTGATGTTCGCCTTGAATCGGTCTGTGGCCTGATTGTCAAGACCTGGCAATCATCCCGGTTTTAACCCTGCGCTCACCCGGTTTTAACCCTTGAGCGCAGTGTAAAACCGCCTTTGTGCGAGTTATCGCTTATCACCAATACACCCACTACTTACCCTCCCCCAAACTTGGAACAATCTTCCAAAAGTGGCTCGTTTCCTCACAATAAACTCTCAAAAGTGGTTTCCTACGTATTCTACAGCGGTCCAAGCCACGTGTCTTCGAGGCACGGACAGTGCCTTTTCCCCGGGCCCCATCAGCCCGGGCGCTGCCTTTGCGCGCCCGAACCCCGAGAGACGCGAGAAGCGATGGCTGGGGGCGTCCCTGGGTTCCGTGGGGAGTCATCACTTTTTGAGGGGAACAACCCCCTATAAATGAAATGGGGTTGACTAATATGGGGTCAACATTATGCATTGAGACAAACCACGACTAGATTTACAGATCAGCGACCGCAAAAGGTCAATGATTGTTGGCAAGAGCGTGTACAGATGGCCATGAAGTGGATGAAGCAAAGTCTCTTTGTGTCCTGCAGAGGGTGTGAAGGAGGTGTTACTCGGCAAGCTTGCTTCAGTGCATGGGCTTTATTTCATATCCAAACTGTGCGTGCTACGGGATCATGGAACAAAACATATCCTCAAAGGAGGCCAACACATTCGAAGCTTGTTTTCGTTTCCCAGAAATTTGGTGGAGACGGGGAAGAACTTGAGGGCTGGGTGTTGGTTGTGTCCCTCACGTTGCGTTATGTGTTGTTCCATGGGAAGTGTCTAAGTTCCATGCGAAACGGTCAGCGACATTTGTTCTTCCTTGCTCTTGAGCGAGTTTCCCCTTTTTTCACACAGCCCCTGAGCGTTTTAGGAGGAAAGCAAAAAGTCAAGGAGCTACTTGTGAGGCCAGGTGCTCAAATTACATTTGTTTCCATCTTGGAATTGCCGTCGTCGGTGTCTGATTCCAGACACCTGTCTCAGCAGGGAATGTGGGAATGCCCCTACAATCCATCGCCTATGGATTCCTTTAAGGGAATCATTCCCTGCTGAGCGCCAGCAAGCCTCAGACCCATCCTGCCTTCGCCCGTGACTCCAGGGAAGGATACTTGCCTCCCAGCTGCCGCGAGGCACGCGGTTTGCGCCACCTTTGAAGCCCCGCCCGGCGAGCCCGTTGATTTAGGTCGAGCTCACAATGTTCAACGGAGACCAGGGGCAAAGATCATCTTTTGTTTGCTGTCTGAATGGCTAACACACTGGTTTGGGGTGGTGAGCATTCCATGTGTGATCAGGACTTGCAGCTGCAGCGACGAATGCTCGCTAGGTGAATCTGAACCTTACTGTATGCATGACAGCTCATGCTAAAGGCATAGAGGGGGCAATTCTAACTTCCCACGGATGGGCTGCGGCTGGGTCCCGTTTTGTTGTCGTGCGGAAGCCTGTCTTCTGCTGAGACATACGTGGTCAGTGGTGTGTGACAGCACTGATCCAGATACAAATATAGAACCTTACTCAAGGTACCTTTGGGGGTCCATTACCTCAGGTTGGCGACTTCTTGTAATTCACAAGATGGAAGCCACTTCTCTCCGACACTTTGCACGATGCCGCAGCTTTATGATGTCTCAAGATGTTCGGAACGCGCCGCTTGCGGGTACCTTGCTTGCATTACGGGTTGCGTTGGGGCGATGCTTCCGACATTGCGAAGGCAGCAAGTTGCACCACACTGGTACTCCTGAACATTCAAAAGAGCTGGATCTTGGCATTGTCCGATTTTGACCCATGTTGAAGCCGGCATGTCTCGCGGACAATTCTCTATTTCGCGGAAGCTCGATGCAAATCGATGCGACGTGCAGGTTTTTGGTTTAGTTCGGATCTGCCTTAATCCAAACACTCCAACAATCCAACCCAGTTGCCCAGTGTTGCCCTTTCCTTTTTTTGGGGAAGGGTTCCGATTCCTTTAAAGTCAACCAGCCACAAAAGTCGGATGCCGAGCCTTGGTTTGCCCAAGTCCACTGGGCTGAGCCAAGATCCTGTGATCAAACTCCAGATGCATGACACCCTTTTCCATTTGCCTGGCACGGGATTTCCATATCTCAGGTCGGGCCGGCTCGAGGCGGGAGCGATCCGTTTGAGTTTTGTTTTTGGTTTTTTGGCACGCCCAAAAGCCGAGCATTCATTAACTCTTCACCTTGGGGTTTGCAGATGTCCGGGTCTGGTGAAGGTTCTTTGGCCTATGTGCTTTTAGCAAGTCCTTTGGGCTTTTGTCCCAATTGGTGATGATTTGGTGGGTGTGCCCAAGATCACAACCCCTTTCGAGTGCAGGTGATTGTGAATTTCTTCCGCTCTCAGTTGTGAACAGAGCGGGGGTTGTGCTGACGAGAGGAGCTGACCAAAGTGCCACAACAACAGGGCTGGAGTCCGTGGTAATCCCTGAGCTTTGCTTGAACCTTTGCCGTTACAGCATGGGCTAGCATGAGCGATGTTAGCCGCGGCATGAGTTTACCAGCTTCAACTTGCAATGCAGGAGCAGATTTCCGTGGCACAGGCGATGGCTTTTTGCAGCTGTCAGCCTGTCGCTTGGCTAGGTGCGCAAGAAGAGCACGTTTTGATGTGTGGGTCGTTGTTCTTTTGGGGTGGTCAGTTGTTCGGTTGGAAGGACAGCAAGGCCATTTCGGAATGACCTGCATGCACAGCAGCAAAAAAATAGCTTCCAGTCTCTTGCTTTGCAAGTGCCTTTGGAAGCGGATGATTGACATTGCACAACATGGATGCGCTTGTTCATATTGAGAATTGTTCTGGGTTGGTCGCGGTCATGTGACATTTACGGGGTGTGTGAAGTGGACTCGAATGCTTCTTTGTTACACAGATGCCCATACAAACTTGTTGCATTGCTGAGTGCTGAGAAAGGCTTTCCTGCCCCAGATATTTTGCAGATATGCGACTTCTTGACAAGCCTGAAGCCGGGCAGGTGAATTGAAAGCCGCTTGGGTGGGACATGCATCTTAATGGATAGAAGAGCTGTAATTCAACAGGGTTAACTTACAGGAACATCTACAGGAAATGGCCTCACAACAGCCCAATTTGATTGTTTTTTTGTAGCCAAACCCTTTGAGTAATTTATCCGCAAGACACGTGGCATTTCTCGCCTGCATTTCTATTTGCCTCGGCGTGCGAGGCTGGGTGCCGCCGCTGCTGCGTTCGCGATGCCCATGACAGTGGGGGAAGCTTGGAGACAGCTGGGCATCAAGCCGACCTCCTCCAAGGACTCAACGGAGATTCCTCGATCGATTCGACAGGAAGGGGACTTCTCATAATTAGTTTCCGGCTGGGGACAACTAGTGAGGGGCACAACCCGAAACAGACGATTGGACAGCGATGTGAACCGTTCAGAGGCTGAAGCTTGGCAAGCTCTACTTTGCCTAGGTCCCCCAGTAGTGCTCTTTTACCCTTTTTTGGGGTTCCCCTACTAACATAGGCTACAGAAAAAAAAGGTACCCTTATTCTAACCTCTCTACTGGAGGACCTAGGTCGGCAGTCACGAACACCCGATGAGACTTCGACCTGGAATTTTATTGCACCCGGAAAGTTACGCCGCTGGGCGAAGGAGCAAATCAAGAAGGCCTTCAAGGAGCGAATCAGGCTGGGAGCTTCGCAGCTTTAGGGGCACAGTTTTGGAGCCAGTGGCCAAGCCTTGAACTGATTCTGGAAATGAGCAATGGAATAGTTCAGACTCGCGCATGATGCTGAAAAGAGTGTACTCGTATCTCCTTGTTCGGTCCCATGGCTTCGTGGCTGTGTGACACTGGCACGATCTACCATAGAATCGTTGGGCCCTGAACCAGTACGCAAAATCCGAGGACGCCACTTTAGAGCATGTCACGTCACATGTGTGCCGTGGCCGGAGACAGAGCTCAAGTTTTGAGTAAGACTGGAGTCGCGTGAGGGTTTCGGGGCTGGCTCAGTCGCTCAGGCAAGTGCATCCTGATGTGACTGGAGACGATGGCTCCATGCTGCGAAAGGCGCATCCAAGGAGCTCAAGGAAGTGAAGCATGAAACCAATCAAAGCCCGGTGTCATTTAGTTTGGGTGTGTTGCTTTTTTGGGGGGGAGCCCCAAAAATGGTGGTTGTCCGTTTCCCCTTAAAACCGCAGGAAAAGCATTCCCCAAAAAAAGACAAACCCATTTGCCAAGATTTGACTTTGTTCCGGGGCTTTGTGTTTCGGAAATTCATTGCACTTGCAAATTCCCAGGAGCGCATTCGGCCCACTTGTCCAATTTACAAGTACTGTTCCAGAAAACGCTCTGCGAGCTGACCATCGACCACTCATTTTTCACCATGTGGGCGTGTCCTAAAAGTGGGGGAGACCCTGCTATTTGGATGGTTGTCTCAAGGCAACCCAGAAGAAAGCCAAACTTTTCTTGCGCGACCGCCAGCCAGTTGCAGAGCCCATTTGCTTGGGTCAGCGCCGCCGTTTGCCAGGTGCAAGATGCCTTCACCGTGCTAGAGCAGCTGAGGGATCCCACGGTCTACGACAGTACGGCGGGAGCCACTCGTCCAGTGAATCCTCTTCCCCGGAAGTCAGGAAGGGAGCCAAACCAAAGAGACCAGTCCAACACGCCACGCAGGTTTTCCGAAGAAGGGTATATCATGGAGGGGCGGGCTCAAAGTTTTGGATGACGAGCTCATTCTGTTGCACCATTTTGTTGCAAGGGATGGGCTGCTCCCAACCCCCCAAGCAAAGCGCCTCAGAAATGGCCAACAGAAGCCTGTGAACAGTGCGTCTGATGGACCCGACTCAATCAGGATCCAACAAGGCCTGGTCTTTGTTTAAGATGTGTGGCTTTTTGTGCGAGTGTGTGTGTGTGTGTGTCTATGTTGGCTGGTGTGAAGGAAACTCTATGTTGCACTAGAATAAACTTGTAAATCATGGCCATGTGTGTGTGTGGGTTTGCGTGCTCAGATATCCTTCTCAGAATGGGAGCACGAATCGGTTCGTGTCAAGACATTCCTTTGAGCACATGTCCTTCTGAAGCGAGCAGCATCAAGCGTCTGAGTTCCGGGTGTTTCCGTCCGAATGTCGAAAGCAGCACCCTGAGCGAGCGACGCCGACCGTTCAACGAAAGCAAGATCGTTCCACATTTATGATTCACGAGGCCACATGTGTGTTTTTCCAAAGCTGCAGCAATTCACCAGGCCACGTGACTCTATGAGTGACTCTGTGAGTGACCGAGTGTGTCTGAGTGTTTTTGGTTCTTTATTTCTTTAGTATTTGGCTGTTTGGTTGCCAGTCGGCTTGTCGATTTTTTGGCTTGTTGCCCAGTCAGCAAATTTTCTCTGGGCTTGTTTGCGGGTAGGTAGGTAGGCAGGTGGGTAGGAAGATGCGTAGGTACATAGGTAGGTTTGTGTGTAGCCCTTTGTGCCCCAAGCGACCTGTTACCAATGAGCCACGTATTCAGCGGGGCATTAGCTGCAGCTTTAGATTGGGTTTGGTGGTTGGTTTCGCTTGGCTTCTCTTGGTTTGATGTGTTCTTGTTGTTGGTTTGTTGGCTGCTTAGTTGGTTGGTTGCTTGGATTTGGGTTTGGTAGGTCCTCGGCTGGCTAGGTGTGTTTTTGTTTTCGGTTTGCCCAGAGGTTGATCCAAGCCCCCGATCTCGAAGGACGGGCTGCCCCACTGGGCCACCGGCCTGCTGGAGGGCATTACCTGGAGCTCCGACTGCCCCAGCTACGCCGACTTCCTGGAAAAGCCCGACTGCAAGGCGCTGGGCGGCTGTTCGGCCCCCAAAACACTCTGGAGTGAACCAGCCAAGCTTGAAGACATCCAGATGGAAAACAAGCATTTGGAGGATTTTGGAGGGGGTCCCGCATGGTGCAAGTTTCCAAAAGAAGACAAGCTGGGTCGAAAAACACGCCTTTCGTTATGCAAGGACACGACCCGTAAAAATTATTTGCAGGCCCGGAACACTGCAAACCCATGCTGAGGATAAAAACGATACGAACCGATACAAGGCTATAAGGTTGCAAGGGTTGTCCACGGTTTTTTTTGTTCCAGCCCTGCTGAGAGAAGATCACGATTGATTCCCAATTCCAAGCAAGATCCTTTTTGGTTGGGAGGGGTGGCATTCTCAGTGGACATATAGAACAATGATAAGAGGGGTAACTTGATTCTGCTGGCAACGGTTTGATACTTGCAGTCGTCTACAGCGTGTTTGTGCGTTTGTGAGTTTGAGTGCTTGTGTGTGTGTGTGTTCGTGGTTTGCGTTTTTGTGTCTCTGTGTTTGTGTGTGTGTGTTTGCTGTGTTTGTCTGTGTCTGTCCGTGTCTGTCAGTGTCTCTGTGTCTCTGTGTCTCTGTGTCTCCGTGTCTCTGTGTGTGTGTGTGTCTGTTTGTTTGTGTTTGTGTGTTTGCGTGTTTGCGTGTTTGTGTTTTTTTTTGTGTGTTTGTGTGTGTGTGCGTGTGTTGTGTGTTTGCGTATTTGTGTTTGTGTTCGTGTTGTGAGTTTGATCACTCTGGTTTAAAGGGCCGAGTGACTGCCGGATACCCGATCTTTGGGTTTCGAAGGCCCTTGCCGTTGGCGAGATCAGTCAGAAGACTGGGATCCGCCCATGGGCGGCTTCTTGGGGCAAATTCTCCCAGCAGGCGCGTGGATTTCGGTGAGATGGGCAGATGCGTGTCATGCTTTCCAGCAACCGACAAGGCTGTTGCCACGGAGATAGCGCAATGTGGCTGTGGGTTAAAACCCTGTACCCCTGGTGAACGTCAAAATAGGAAGGTATACATGGGTGTTCATCCGCCCCGGTTATGACCCATGGCCATGTCGCGCTCGCTTTCCTCCTCACAACTTAGGAGGCGAACTCCGACGCGCTGCGCTGCTCGGTATTGATTTGACCAGAAAACTGAACGTCGTCAATCATTGCCGCCTGGATTTTGAAAACAACTTTTTTTACTTGGCCAAGCTTCTGACACAAGAAACATATATCAGAACCGCGCGCACATGCATTGCTTTGTTTAGATTTCATGTTTGAGACGTTGTCTACCAGAAACTGTTTGGACATGGTGCCGCTTTAGCCTCAACAGGTGTGACTTGACAAAGCATGCTGCGCGTCGCTGCTACGCTTGCCTTAGTCATCAGCCCACACTTGCGTCAATATTTGTACAGTTCGGTGACCACCCATTTGCTAGTAGCATGCGAAGGCGTGGGCAATCCAGTGGTTTGTCCTTCTCAGGCGTGTGCCGCCAATTCGGCGTGAAGTGCCGGCTCATCTATGTGGGTAGCGGCACAGCGCGGGTTCGCACGGTGGGGCTGGATAGCAACAGCGCCGAAGAGGCCGGCAGCTCTTCACAAGTCTTCGGAGAACTGTGTGGCAGGGTCAATCGGAGGAACCAAAGCCCCATGTTGTTTCTCTCATTTTTTAAGCACGAGAAGAAGCCAACAAAACAAGACAGGGCTTCCAAAGGGGACCAACCAATTCGCAGGGTTTCCTAGGGACCGGATGTGAATCAGTCGCTAAGCTTCAACGCGAACCATGAGTTTGGCAACCCCGGCCCTTAGATCTGTGACTTGCGCAAGGCATTGAGGGCACCCTGTTTTGGTGGCTTTAGGGAAAGCAATATCGGGCCTTATCTTGCCCAAGTTGCCATGGATACTTCAAACTTCAAGCTGGGGCCAATCTTCCATTTCCAGCAGGCTGCACACTCCGGACACGAATGGTCAAGGAACCCCACTGAAGGAGTGTCTAGGGCTGCTGACAGAGAGTCAACTTGTTGGATGGTACAGGTGCTTTGTATCCGTTTCTGACTTCTGCTGCCTCGTACCATAGACGATTCCTAAACGCACAAGGGATTGCGGAACCGCATTGGGTGGGTTGGGACTATCCCCATACATTTGCAGCAGGGGCTCCGACAGACCTCGTTTGCATTGTCAGCTTGCATGATGGTTCTGGAGCTTGAATTTGTTGCAACGGGTGTCATCCCACATCCGTGGCATCCTACCATGCACCATTCGTAACAGACAAGAGCCAGAGCAATTGAGCAGCGTTTTTTAATCAAATGAAAGGGTTTATACAAAAAGGGAACTGCATGTACTTTGCGGAGGCAATCCTGGTTGGGGGCGTAGGCTCGCGTAGGCTTCAGCGCGTAGGCTGTTGTGTCGCCGCTCGCGTAGGCTTTTCGCGTAGGCGTTTGTTGAACAAATCATGACTCAGTGCTGTTTGCCAAGTATAAATGAGTTTGCTTCTTTTGCCTTCCTTCTGTTTGTTCTGGAGTCTTCGCGTAGGCTCCGCGTAGGCCCCGCGTAGGCATTTGCGTAGGCTTTCAAGGCATTTTGGGTACGTAGACCTTCTGGCAGCCAGATCCTTGGACAGATGCGGGCTTCTCACTTGTACTGCAATTCTGATCTTAGAGCCGGAGCTGCCAAAACTGCACTTGTACTGAAAAGTTGCGATTTTCCAGCTGTAGCTGCCACAGTGCACTTCGACACTTGAACTCAACATTTGCCCGCGTAGGCATTCGCGTAGGCACCTGGAAGCTGACTTGTGCTCACGTAGGGACCCCTCGCAGGCCGCGTAGGTTTGCGTAGGCCTTCGCGTAGGCATGCAAGTAGTGTATAGGGCTCGAACCACCAAAAAAAACACTGCTCAATTGGTAAGCCAACATCCATGCACCTGGGATAAACGAGGCTCAAGCAAGTTGAATAACACCACGTGAGCCACTTGCTCAACCCCCGGGTAAATAAAGCTTAGTAAGGGACAATCCCCTTGCCATAAGTAGCTGCGGATATCCGCCTGCTTAATTTTTGAAGCATGGCTCTGGGTAGACCATTTTAATACCCGGTTTTGATTATGACTCACATGGCTGTGGGTCGAAACCAACGACCATTTTGGGGTAGATGAATTCACCACCCATTTTAGAACCTATTTTAGTGGTTGGATTGAATCGGATGGTCACTGGGGGTAACCGGTTTGGATTTTGCCCCATGGCTCTCCGTGGCACGTTCCCGCCTCAAGCCGTGAGCATTCGACAGGAGAAGGACTGGTGGCGATCACGAGTCCTGAAGAACGGCCAGCTGCCGGGGTTCGGCTGGATGCCCACCATCGATCACTCCAAGGAGCGCCGATTTGAGATTTGGCGTTTCGCATCCAGGTGGCTCGTCCAGTGTGGCGTTCTTTGAGGATCTCCATTCAAAGGGGAAACCAAAGGCAAACCGAAGGCAAACCAAAGGAGCCCAAAAGCAAACCACACATCATGGCACTTCGGAGTTTGGCAATTCTCCGGCAATGTTGACCCAGGATTCATAAACTCCCATTATTCGGGGGGTGTTCCCTCAACAAGTGGTCTGAATCCCCACGAGAAGGGGAGGCAGTTCTCCGGTACGGGCGACGGCAACGAGCATCACCGGAGTGAGGGTAGGCGATGGCTTGATCGCCTGACAGCACCTCTCCGCTGCGCCTCACTGCTTCGAGCCACGAAGAAAACAGAACCCAAAGCACACTGGCCGTGATAAGACAAGACGCAGTGGCAAGTTTCAGACTTGAATGATGGTTGATGTTCATTTGTTGGGGGTGGGTCGAGGTTCTTTTCGTTTTTTTGGCTTTGGGCCCGGGGGGTGTGGTTGATTTTGAGATTCGAACCCCGCTCACCCATGTTTTTTCTGCTCGAAGGAGCGGCTGGTGGGATGGAAGACCATCACGGAGGGCAGCGAAGTCATCGGGGAGAAGCGCATCCGCGTCCCCGTCTTCGAGCCGGCCAGAAGTTTTCGGGGTAAGTAAGCAGATTGGGTCGGGAGACCCCAACTGCAACCCTGGCCACATCCCCCAGTAGTGTCCTTTTACCCTTTTTTGGGGGAGGGTTCCCCTACTAAAGTAGACTACATAAAAAAGGGTACCCTTATTCTAACCTCTCTACTGGAGGACCTAGCTGGAGTACAACACCCATCCCAGTGATTCCAGTTACCACTATAGTAGGCCACCCTGGTGTTTTTTCAAATGGAGCCCTTTGACGCACCTCGGAACCCTGGACAGGTCACTGGTGGCACGCCTTACCTGTATGCGCCGGGCAAGCCAAAGCAGCGAGTTCAGCTGTGGCTTGGAAAAAGTTTGGGGGGGCATTAGAGAAATGTCACAACCGTACAGTGGTATTGAGACTGGAAAGCAGATGTGTGCGTGTGTGTTCGCGGTAAATTTGGGAAGCCCTTTTCAGGTTGGTGGCGACAAGAACCACGACCATTTGGGCGTTGACACGTGCGTCCAAGTTGCACATCGCACTTTCAACATGCCGCGGTCCAAAGCGTACGGATGAGTATCATATTTTGAGGAGAGTGAGTTCAGCACGAACAAAGTGAAGCACTGGCAGGCGACTTTGTTTCGAGGATCATGCCGCCATGCGTTGCACAAATCATGAGGCATACCGGACTCAATTCAGCAACAACACGCACTTTGTGTGGCAAGCCTTTGGTGTTTGCCCTGAGATGTGTAAAATGTATGGCTCGTTTTTTTGTGTTTTTTAGCTTTGTGTGTTTGGAGTGTGCAGACTTCTGCCGGTTACAACGCCTCAGGAAGCGCACTCCCTTCAAGCGCGTGCAGAGCCTGCAGCGCGAGGTGAAGCGAGACAAGCGGTCGCTTCTGCGGGAGCGGGTACGGCTGAGTTGCCATGCTGCAGCTTACCCATCACACAGCGCACACAGTGTCATGCGTTAATGTGATGATTGTTTGACCTTAAAGCTTGAACACCAGCTTTTTCTGGCGCCAGGAGCATATCATGTCGATGAGCCAGCAGAAGGACGGCTGGGTCAATACAGCAGATTTGCTCCGGCGGAAAGGCAAGGGAGAAATGCTCTGACAGGTGTTTGTTTGGCTGCGTGTCGGTTAGGTTTCTCGCAATGAGGTGACACGCAAAATGTCCATGGCATGAAACTTTGCCTTTGGCATTTGAACCGCGGCAAGTCGGCCGAATCGAAGCTTAAGATTCCAGCTCGGGCAATGCCTGGCCTGATCGGGGAATGTCCACTGAATCTGAAGATGTCCATTTTGTGTGGGACACCTGAATGGCTGGGAGCCTCGGCTGCGGATGCTGGAGATCCAGCGGAGAAAAACGAAGAGAGACGAGCTTTGCGGCGCATTTCGCACAGGGCACGGCAAAACAAACTTGCTCATGTGCCAATGCTTGCTTGTTTCTGGCCAACAGAACTGAGAGGTTGCCAGAAAGCACTCAAGAGACCTTAGGCCTTTCCAAAAGAGTCCAACTGCCTTCTGAGGAGTAGTTGCCAGAACCCTTAGGGTTTGTCACAAGATTCGAGTGCAGAGATCTTGCCAGATGAAGACCCCTGCTCTACGTGCACGTCACGTCGAACTGGCGGCCATTCGCTTGAACTAGGTGAAAGCCAAAAACATATAATCAATTGGGGTCTTATATGATATTGTTATTTTTAACTCATGAATCATTTAAAAAAATAATCATATATATATATATATATATAGTGTTAATATAATTTTAAACATAATTAAATGAGTGTTCGATACTCGAAAAAAATATGGAAATATTAAAAGCACAATGAACTTTGTGGGTGTTTATGGAAGAAATTTGGACGGGTGTTTTATGATATTTGATAGATTGTTTGACGAAATATGTAGGTTATCTTAAATATATATATATATATATTAATGTTGTATGTGTGTTTGTTGTTTATGATATTTATATTAATTTGTTGATATTTTGAATTAGAAATAATATTTAATAGATAATTGTTGATTATAAAATTTGTTGTTTAAATTTTTGTTATATTATAAATTAAAATTAAATATAATTGGTTGATTATATAATATATATGTTTGATGTTAAACAAAATTTCTGAAATTAAGATATAATTCGGAAGATATAATGGTTTTATTTTTTGTAGGGACTAATTTCTAGAAATATTTTAGATATTTTGGGAAAATCATAACTACCCACCATTTTCTCGAAATATTCCGAGTATTTTGGGAGCCGTTTTCCCGAAATATTCCAAATATTTCGAGAAATGTTTTTTCGGAAAATGGTTTGGAGTGTAATTATCGAAATATTCGGGATATTTCGGAAAAAAATGGTTCGGGCTTTGAACGAAACCGTTGTGTTTTCTAGATAAAGAATCGGAATACATATCTGCTTGTCCATAGTAGTTTTGGCTGAAAGCTTGGCCTATCTTGCGAGAATTTGGCGATACGAGAAGTTGTGAGTCGTGTCCGATTGTTACGACCAATGATGTTTTGTCTAATGTTTTGGGCGAAATTAATTCGGCTTTGCTTACACCCAGCATGTTTCCTGGTCGATCGCGTTTTCGCTTGCGCGTTGCGATAACTGCGTCTGTAGATGGATCTTTTGAGGCTAACAGCCCGTGGAACCGTTCTCACCTTGCTCAGGCGACCGCTTTCACTGACTGTGCGTCTCGCGACCTGTGTTTGGAGAACGGCAGCATGCTTTTCGCGTACGACGAAAATAATTGTTTTGATATATATGAGATGATAAATTATATTGGTGCCTGAGTTACAAAAAATATCTTGCCGGCGCGGGCTCTATAAGATTTGCTCTGCTCTTAGCACACCCACCACGGCCTGGACCTTGATCCCTGAGAGTTCAGCCCTTTTTTGGCACCCGCCTCAACTTGATTGCTGGTTTGGATTTGTGGTTTGGGGATTGAACCCCTGGATCATGTTAAAGTTGAATGGGAAACCACCTCCTAACCTCCAAAACACCGATTCAAACTACCAATCCAAACTGGACCAGTAACAACCCGGAATGCCCAGTCCAAAGATAGCCGCCAAACACCTGCCACCACCTCCTGGCCGCGAAGCCTGTGGCACGTCGACACCGAAGGCGTGTCTCTTTTTGTATCTGTCTCTCTGTCAGTGTCTTTCTCTATCTCTTTTTGTCTGTTGGTCTCTCTGTCTCTGGTATCTGTTTCTTTGTCTGTCTATCTGTCTATCTGTGTCTGTCTGTCTGTGTCTGTCTGTCTGTCTGTGTCTGTCTGTCTGTGTCTGTCTGTGTCTGTCTGTCTGTGTCTGTCTGTCTGTGTCTGTCTGTCTGTATTTGTCTGTCTGTGTCTGTGCTGTGTCTGTGTCTGTGTTTGTGCTTGTGTTTGTCGCGTGTCTGTGTCCGTGTGTTTATGTGTCTGTGTTTGTGTCTGTGTCCGTCTGTGTCTGTCTGTGTCTGTCTGTGTCTGTCTGTCTGTGTCTGTCTCTGTCTGTGTCTGTTTGTTTGTGTTTATGTATTTGTGTTTGCGTGTTTGTGTCTGTGTGTTTGTGTGTTTGTGTTTGTGTGTTTGTGTTTGTGTGTTGTGTGTTTGTGTGTTTGTGTGTTTGTGTGTTTATGTTTGTGTGTTTGTGTGTGTCTTTGTTTCCGTGTTTGTCCTTGTCTTTTGTTTTTGTTTGTGGTTTGTGTTATTTGTTTATTTATTTATGTAAAATTAATATTGGATAGTGTATTGTTTATGAAATTATTATAATTATATAAAATTTATATTTGGGATTATATATATATATTTAAATTATATTATTATATATTTTTTATATGTTAATTATTTAAAATAAATTATATAGTATATTGAATAATAGAAAATGTAGAATTGCAAAAAAATAATATATATATAGAATTTTTTAATTTTATAATAAATATAAATACTATATTTAGTAATAGAATTATTAAGGTGAATATATATTTTTTTTAGTAAATAAAATATAATATTAAATTTAATATATTATTTAAAATTTTAGATATAATCAAATATTATATTTAAAAATGCAAATCAAATCAAACTATATATATAATAATAAAATAATTATAAACTAATATAATTATTAATTATTAATTATAAATAATAATATCTAATTCTAAAATATTATATTTATTATATAATCAATATAACTATCGCCAAAATACTATACTCATCATGCAAAACGAATCCTCGAGCCATATATTTAATAATATCTAACCCAATAACAATAAAATATTTGCTAAATATATAAATATAATTATTTTATTATATATATATTTTTTTTTTTTTTTTTTTTTTTTTTTCAAAATTATAAAATAGATTCCTCCCAATCGTGCCCATAATATCCAATCGAATTATATAACTACCAAATACTATAATAATATATTAATAATATACGAAAAATACATACGTAAAAGCGAGCGTAAACGAGAGCGGGGCTTAGCCCTTGCCTCGTAATCGGGGTCTAACCCAACACAAAAGGATTAGCAATCTATAATACAATAGGCAATTCAACCCAAATCTTCAATTCGAGATGTTTAAGAACATTAATCATAAAATAAAGTCGGAAGATAGAATTTCGCCCACCCATAATCCAGTGTCACTTTAGACACGGAGATTATATCACCCCACTCCGAAAACGAAGCCCAAACCAAACACACAAAAAGGCCGAGAATCTCGATCCAAAAGACATCAATTCCTCGTAACTCAAGGAAGGACAACTCCACTACACCGCCATATATCAGAAGTGATCGAAACGCTCATCGAAAGCAATAGTCAAAGTCAAGGAAACCAGCTCATCATCCGCGCACCTCCAAAATCACCTATTTATGCGGCCAAACGCCGCCTCCCGATGCCTTTCACATGCTAAGTGATGATTTCTCTGCAATTCAAATAAGACTCGGATTTTAAATTGGGTCCATATAATCCCAAGACACAGAATATTTTTTCATCCACCATACGAGCAAGGGACCGAAGGAGTCGTTTTCCCTCGGCATCCAATCCATCCGTACTTTCCCAAACCAGAGGCTCGTAACCAATGTTTTGAGCCATACATCGACTCCGCAAATCATCATAAGCGCGCGGCATATTGCCGTGCTGCTGCCAATGTTTCCTGTGCCGCCATCCCCAAGATACGAGATTGGAAAGGAGATGTAACCGCTATGTCCAGGGCCAACCGCGGAAAACGGCGCCAGGACGATTGAAGGATTTGCGAGGCTCCCATCACCAAAACATCCGCAGGTCTTATCCGGGAATCAGTGGGTAACAGGTTCACAGGCTCCAACGAGGGTCGCGCACCAGCCTGCAAGGCTAAAGCAAACACAGCGTTCTTCAAAATGGTGTGCGTGGCTTGTTTGTGTCCATATCCCATGCAATGGAAAACATGGTGTCCGAAAGTATCCAAATTTTGGTGGCAAAAAGAACATGCCTCCCCCGGTTCAAAACATGGAATTCCCAGCCGCACAGAAACAATATCTCGAAATGCAGCGTTAGTGAGCAACAAATCCTGAGCCAGAGCGGGGCGTGCCCGAAGCCAACCATCTGCTCCTAAGACAGCAAAAGTGCGCAACTGCGCTTGTCCCATTACATCCGCTTGCTCCATCAAGAAACGAATCACCTTAGAGTGAATAGTGGCCAACAAGGTAGCTTGTTGTATCTCCATTGTCGGATCCTGCAGACCAGGGGCAAGAAACGCATGTCATGCTGAAGGGCCTGAGCTTCATACCCAATATTAATTTGGATGGGAAAAGCGGGATAAAGATCCCAAATGGTTTGCAAGCACTTGCGCTTTGACGCCACGTAAGCAAGATCCGCTAGGTGAACGTTCTCCAAGCCGATTTCGGCTCGCGGACTAAGAAGTCCAAGTCCCCCTTGCTTAGTAGGCAATTTGGCTTGCGACCACTGGGTTCGAGTCAAAACAATGCCAAGGCATAATTCCAAACATCTTTTCATTCGATCGTGGAACCAATCCAAACATGGTCCAATCAACGGTCGAGGAGTGGTGCGGCACAAATATTGCATTTTGTTAAAGGCAACACTGCTCTGCATAAGATGGAAAGCAGTATACTTATGCGGCAAGCTTTCTATCGCAGAGAAGAATTTCTCAATTTCCTGATTCTTCTGTTCATAGAAATTATGAAAAAAACTCCGCCGACCCCGCAACAGGCGCTTTAAGCATAAGCACATCATGACCAGTAATCACAGTAACTCCCAACGCCTGGAAACGCGAAACATCTCCGCGGAATTGTTCCCCCGCAAGAAGGTACAAGGTGCATTTGTGCGGTTGGATGTGCAGCCCGTATTCCTGAGCCAAACGCATCTGTTGTTGAAATGCAGCCCAAACATCTTCCACCTCCTCCCCCATAAACCCATCGTCCGCAAAAGCCGGCGTAAATTCCGGCGGGGGCCTGTCGCTAGAGGCGAGCACGGCGGTTTGCATTCGATGACGAGTAAGACAAAACAAAGGACTCATGATGGGACAACCTTGTTGTCCTCGCGAACATTATTCCAATTGTCCTTAGTAAACCAAATTAGACGGGGTTCCATAACAATAAGAAGCAAATCGAGCCGAGGAGGGAGTGTGGTCGCGGGCATCCTTCAAGAATTGAATAGGCAACATTTCATTAAAAGCATTACGAATGCCGGTCTGCAGAGGAACACAAATGGGCCTAGCAATATTTTGCCCAATCCACTCTTGCATCGCGTGGATCATGACCTCAGCACAACAAGAAACGCCGACGGCCAACTGACTAGGTGCCAAATGTTGCTGAACTTCGGGGCGGTCCATCGCCAAAGTGCATTTAAACACAAGTTTCCTCCAAGTAAGCCCCATAACAATCGGGCGAGCATCCTCATTCAATGGGATGGGTTCTCCCCGGCATCGGTCTTCCCAACCCCAATTAATTGGCCTCCGCCAATCCAAGGGCGTAAATAAGCGGGAGCCAATCCATCAGCCAATAACTGAGCGAAGTCGCAAAAAAGCGGCACCACAATTTCATCCGAGCCGGAACCCAGAAGAGCTTTCAAGAAATCAGCTCTTAACCCGTCTGGTCCCGGACCGACATCTACGGCAAACGAGTGGATCTGGCGGATTAAATTGTCGGTGGATATAGGGTCAGAAAGCGGCATAGCCACAACTTGAGGCAACGAATCTGGCGGGCAAAAGGGGAATTTGGCCAACAATTTCCCTCCAACCTCCGGCGTGTTATGAGCCAATACTATAATTGTCATGCCAAATATTATTCCTATTACACAAATAATTTATTACACAAAACAACGCCCAACAACATCCAAACCAATTACACAAAACAACGCCCAACAACATCCAAACCAATTAAACACAACCTTCTCCAAAATATAATGCCTATCAACACAACAACATTCAGTCCAATAATAATAGCCAATCCTATCAAATGCTACCCAAACACATAATATAATATCTATTATGTAAATTTATATAACATAATTATCCGAATTTATTAAATAATTACCCAAATATTATCCCTCTCACACAAACACACATTACATATACTCCAACTACAACACACACCCAAATATTATACCTATCTAATTCTTCCTATAACAATTTACCAAAAATACATTTATTACAATATATATAAAATATAAAATATATTCCAATAATATCAATATATATATATAATATTAATTGTAATTTATATATATATATATTTAAAAACAATAGTATTACCAATATAATATATCTAATCTATTATATTCTTTTATAATATAATCAAATAAAACAATAATAAATTATATATAATACATATTCATAAAAATTATATTTCAATTATGTAATATTCTTTTGAAAAATCAATAATATATATATATATATAAAATCCATTTCAAAAATCCTAATCCAACCATTAAGATATTTAAAATCTATCAATATTTAATATTATAAATTAAATATTAAATAAATTAA